TGAATTTAAAAATTATTTTAACTATTATTTCAGATGGTTTTAACAATCTATGTATTCTAAGCACACAGAAAATTAGAAGTAGCAAATCTAAATGGAGACTATAGGATATTGTCAGATGTAAGAGAAGATAGGAAAACTATTTGAAGTAAAGAAAACTTAAAAAGTTGGCTATTTGGAGCTTGTGAGTGCATTCTTGAACTTCTTAGGAGCTTCTGAATATACCACTATATTAAAAGCATGATACAATCATTTTGGTAATTGTGATGCTGTAATTTCTTTTAAGAAAAAGGCAATTTATGGTCAGAATATGCTGCTCAATAAACCAGAGACAATTATGACACATTTTTAGATTTCCATCAAAATGATACAAGATGAAGAACTGTTTAGATGTTAGGAGGATAAATATTATTATATACTAACTGAGAAATAAAATATTTCATAATATGATCTAAGCTTTCCTCTAAAATAAATTTTTATGGATTTGGGCAAAAGCTGTCCTGAACACTATTTTATGACCTCAATGTCCTGGGGGAATACTCTACCTCTTTTAATTCGATGGCATGTGGTAATCTCTGACTAAAGTCATTAGTTAATTGGAATAGTTTTCAGAAGTTACTCTGCTGTGAGTGCTTGTCAATTGTTGGAAATTTGTTCACCGCAGTTGAAGGAAGACTCTTTGATCTATTGATGGAGAGTGCCCACCATCACAAGGCACTGCCCTCAACTTGAACAAAGATGAAAACAACAACATCACTCCAGAGAAGAGCATGTAGGTGAATGCATGTCATTCAGAGAAAGCTGGAGGCAAGAAGTGGAGACTAGATACAATGGAAGCATAAAAGAGGGAGTGGTGAACTCACCCAAGGGTAGAGGAATACTTCACAGAGAGGTGGCACCTGACTCCTGCCAGATGAGTGAGAGTTAGCCTGGCTAGAAAACAGGGAAGAGTATTCTAGATAGGGGTGGTTAATAATGTGTAGAATCACAGACAGATGGAATTACAGTGAATCTGATGTGATTCTCTTTACTCAGAACACAGAATTTGGGCATTTGAGAAGAGCAATTGATTCTGACCTAAAAGGAGGACTCCCTTCCCAATCCCTGCCATCTCTTTCCAACTTTGTTTCACTCCATGCAGTCGAGATATAGGACAGAGCTACGAGTCAACTGGTCTAAGAAGATACCCGGAATGAAACCATTGTCCCAATTTGACAGCAGAGGTAACTGGCGCTCAAAGAAGTTAAGCAGCCTGCCTAATTTCTCTGTTTCTGTATTATACTTCTTTTAAAACTATGTTGGGTAATTAAAACACATGACTTCCATATTCTTGGGTGAATTTTAAAGTACTGTTTGTTAGATTAAGAGGGCTCTTTTGAAAAGTCTGAGATTGGATTTCTTGATGACATTTGTAAGGAATCTTGATGAGGCCATGGTGGTATTCTTTTTTCTTTTTTAAAGCAAGATATAATTTACATTCCATGCTATTTAGCCATTTAAGGAATGCAACTCAATGGTTTTTAGTATATTCACAGAGTTGTGTATCTGTCACCACAATAGATTTTAGCATATTTTCATTTTCTCAAAAGAAACCCTTTAACCCTAAAGCCATCACCCTCCCTTTCCTCCTCAGTCTCTCCAGCTTCAGGCGATTACCAATGTATTTTCTGTAGATCTGTCTCTTTTTTTAAAATTTCTTAAAATAAATTCTTTAAAGATTTATTTATTTATTTGAGAGGCAGAGTTACAGACAGAGAGAGAGGGAAAACAGAGAGAGGTCTTCCATTGGCTGGTTCACTCCCCCAAATGGCTGCAACAGCCAGAACTGAGCCCATCCAAAGCCAGGAGTCAGGAGCTTCTTCCAGGTCTCCCACATGGGTTTCAGGGGCCCAAGGACTGGGGCCATCTTCTACTGCTTTCCCATGCCACAGCAGAGAGCTGGATCAGAAGAGGAGCAGTCAAGACATGAACTGCTGCCCATATGAGATGCCGGCACCGCAGGCAGAGGCTTAATCTACTATGCCACAGCACCAGCCCCTATCTGTCTCTTTTGGAAATTTCAAATACAAGAAGTCATATAACACAGTATCCTTTGTGACTGACTTTCACTTGGCATGATGCTTTCATGGTTCATCCACGTTGTTTCATGTCTCAGAAGTTCATTCTTTCTGTCAAATAGTATTCCATTGTATAGATATGCTACATTTTATTTATTAATTCCCCAGTAGATGGCCATTTGGATTATTTCTACCTTTTGGATATTATAAACATGATGCCATTCTGCTATATTTTATTGTAGTAGGTTATAAACGTGATTAGTTTTGCAATCTAATCTAACTTAGAAATATTTGTTACAAAATTCGACAACGGAGTCTACCTTCTAGTGAGTCTGCCACTTTTTATATTATAAATCAAGAAAGATGTGGGTAAAGGAAGATATTTCTGCTTTTGGTAAGTGGGCAGTGTTATATATGTGGATAATCTCCAGGGATGAGCTTTCATTATAACACACAAGGGAGATTCTTTCTCTAGTGAGTTCTAAATGGGATCATGATCCATTCCAACCATTTAGTGTCAAATTATAAGAGAGATGAGCAAATAACCTAGACCCTAACCAGATGGGTACGGTTTTTCTGAAGTCCTTTCCTTCTGGCTTTGACGTGCTAAGAAAGGATGACTTCAGGAAAATAAACGTCTACAAATTACAAAGCAAATATCCTTTGAAACGATCTTGAGAAATATCTTCCTAAGTGAAATGAGGATAGGAAACTTTTGAATTTCATCTTATAGCACGTTGCAATTCAAACGCCATTCAATTGTGTATAATGTACAGTCTCTCTTTTGCCAGACAGAGAGGTTTCCTGATTGTACTCTTGAGATATTATAAAGCATTTCCAAGACTGCTGTTAAACTAGAGAATTGTGAATTGGTAGGTTTTCAAGTAAGTTTCTCCAGACCTCAGTCTGGTCTAAAGTTTCCTGTTTTTACAATTAACTCCTCATGTTTCTTTGTTGAGTGTGTGTGTGTGTGTGAGTGAGTGTGTAAAACCTAAAGATAGACCAGGAAGCATCTGGGCCATCTGGCTGTAGAGGGGAATCCAGATTTCTATGGCTGGGTACTAAATGTATATTGGATAAACAATGCTGTCTTAATATCCAACTCCTGTGCTAACCCTTCAGTCACCATCACCATCTGCACTTTCTGTTAGTACTTTCTGGGTTTTCATCTGTGAATGAGGTAGGTGGCTCTGTCTTGGGAAAAACTCCTGCATAGGCATGGAAACTTCCATGTCGTTTTGTCAAGCTTCTGGAGGATTACAAAGAAAAGTGGACATGTCAGACACTGGGTACTAAAAGCAATGCTTCCTTCTTGTTGCATTCCACTCACCATAGAAAGAACTGTGATTAAGAGAGAGTCATCAAGAACAAAAGGAAAACATTGTGAGCCACCAGGATGACACCAGCCTTGTGTATTGGCCAGGGCCGTGCGAAGTTCTACTCTGTTACCACCTAAAAAAAGTCACATGAAAACATCCTAATTGTAATTAAGATCATTTGATAAGGACATGTGTTTCTGTTTCCCAAAAGCAAGATCCTTTCTCATGTAACTGAAGTAGGAGAGCTTTCATTTGAAGTTTCCTCCCAAAGATTCTTAATTTTAGGGGGAATAATGATGAAGACAACATCAACAACACTTATAAAATATTTCTATAAGCTGCCATTTCATTGAACTGCTTTACATATAAAGAAAGTGAAGCACAGAGCAGCTTAGTAACTTGCCTAGTCTCACAGAGCTAGTGAGCATTGGAACCATGCAGGAGAACTCCAAGCCCAGGCTCTCAACTACCTAATTAACAAACTGTGCTGTTTCTTAATTCAGTGCTATGACAAAAACATTCTCACTGCTAATTTAAAATAGTATGCAAGTATTCAAAGTAGATGTTTATGTAAGTGCAAACATAGCATACATTGTCAAACTATAACGCTATACTTTCTCAAAAAATGTGTTTTACATGCCTATTTTAATCTCAAGAAAAAGATCTTCATTTCTCTTCGAAATGAGGAGTAACATTTGATTTTGCTAGGGAACTGTTAAAATTATTTTGATGGTTCCAGCCGTGCATAGCATAGAGATTTATAGTAAATATGTAATCTGTTTATTTGTCGCCCAAGTTGGATGACTTCCAAATGTTTCCTCTTTATAGCTCTTGATTTGTTTGGATTTTTTTTCAATGGCCAAATCGTCACACACACACACACACACAAAAATGTCTAAATCACGTTTGCTCTTGTCAGGGAATAGCAACATGCTGAAAGATAGATTTGGTTGTTTAAAAATCCTACCACATTTCACTTGCATTCCATGCTTTAGAGGGCTGGATGTTAAAAAAAAAAAAAAAAAGGAAAAGGAGAAGAAAAAAAGAACTAACTTGTGGCTCGCGTCCCTTTGCCCTTCGCTGAAGTCAGTTTTCCCATTCCATTCTGTTGGGGAGCAAGCATGCTGAAGAGATCAAACCAAACTGTCCGAAAAAGGCTGTCTGCATCCCTCATGTTTAAAAGAGAAGAATTTCGTTCCCCTTCCTTCACACATCAAAGAAGGCACTCGGGGAGGAAATAAACCATAATTAGGCACGAGCGAGCGAGCAGACAGACCCTTTCCTTTGCCTTCGCCATCCCCGCCCCCCGCCCCTGGCAACCATCCTGGGCGCTAGCAAGGCCCCGGCCACCGCAGCAGCTGCAGCGAGCGCGCCCCCGCGCCCGCGCCCGTCTCAGAATCTGGGCGGCGGCGGGGCCAACCCGGGAACGCGCTCGCCCGGGAGCGCGCTCATGCAGCGGTTTTCTTCTCCCACAATCCAGAGGCAGCGGCGCGGGAGGGGCGGGGAGTCGGCGGAAGGATATCGGCGCGGAGGGAGCGGCGCGTCCCCTTGAAGGCGGCCTCGCTGCGCTGGTTGGGCAGCGAGTAGTGGGGTGTGATGCGGCACTGCGGTTCTGAGGCCGTTACTCCGGCTCCTCCAGAGAGGGCGGAGGAGGAGGTTGGAGCTCGGCGGTGATTTTGTGCCAGGGCTTCCCAGAGGCGCTCCGAAGAGGCTGGCGGGGCTCAGGCAGCCGGAGGTTTAGAGACGCACATTCAAGCCCCCATCCCCCGGGAGGGGAAGGGGGCTGGAGGCGAGGCGTGAGGGCGGCGGAGGAATGGTGTCTGCTCGGGGGGAAGGGGCGAGCCCTGCCTGTCGGTGGTGAGGGGCTGCAGACCGGGGAGGCTTCGCGGGTCGAAGCGGCTCCATGCCCACCGGTGGGTGGAACGTGTAGAGGGGAAACGCGGAGGTCGAGCCTGGCGGCCCCTTGGATCCCCTAAGGTGGTGTCTAACGTGGTGTTTGATAAAGCCCACGTTGGGATTAATTCATTGGGGGCAGTTCCGCTCGCTTGGCTGCTCTAGGAGCCGGGCAACCTTGACGGGCTTTTTGTCTTGCTGCTGCAGCCCTCTTTCCCCTTCCTCCTCCTCCAGATGCCTTTTCTCTGCCCCTCCTTGCCCGGTACCGACATTTCCAGCGCAGGCTGCTGCTCGTGGGGGCTGTCGAAGCCGCTTCTCGGGATTTCGGCTCGTTTCCCTCTGGGGTGTCTTTGGAGGAGGGAGCGTTTCCCCCCCTCCTCGATGGGGTTTTCCTCCCTTGCCAAAATGGACTTTCATTGATTTCTACTTCAACGTTTCGTGACCAATTCCCTAGGCGTATTTTTGTGGTAGTTCCCTTTTTTTTTTTTTTTTTTTTTAAGTAGAGGATCTGTAAAATGGAGAACGAAATTTTTACTCCCCTTCTGGAGCAGTTCATGACCAGCCCCTTGGTCACTTGGGTAAGTGGAGTGCCCTTTATTGTAGATTTTGCTGGGTTATTTGTGGCTGCAGAGATGGAGGTGGGCGTTCATGCCCTGACGATCCTTCTGTTCTAGGTTAAAACGTTCGGACCTCTGGCTGCGGGCAGTGGGACCAACCTGGATGAATATGTGGCTTTGGTGGATGGGGTATTCCTGAACCAGGTCATGCTCCAAATGTAAGTCTTTTCTGGGTAACTTGTTTTCTTTGAGAAATAACGTACTGTGAACTTGAGACTTGATGTTTTCGCCCCTAATGTGGTTCTTGGGTTAGAAAAATGCAGGTGGTTCAAAAAATTGGATGTTGAAAGGAGTGAAAATCTTCCGTGCCCAACCCATTTATCGCAAGCCAGCAATTATGCCTGTTAAAATTGTGAAACTTTGCATTTTTCGTTTTGCCAACCTTGTGTTGTCACTTATTGTCTTCAGTGCTGAAAACCAAACCACACGGTGTCCTCTTTGATAATCTGGTAAGAAGAGAGAGAGGGCAAGAATGCAAATCTAGTGTCCTAATAGGGGGGAAAGGACTTTAATGTGAAGCTATGTGCATTTGATGCATATCTAAAAATAGTTATTTTTATACTCAGTTTTTGAAGCTAGTGAAGTAATAACATCTTAGAATTTCATACACAGTTCTGAGTGGTGAAGAGGACTGCTGCTGCAGCATGTAACTTAAATGTCTATAATAATTCAGGTCTGATTAGATGATTTATTGTGTGGACTTTGTGTCATATTTGAAAGATCATTTTAAGGTGTTCTTAGTTTTGAAATGTACATCATTGAAGGCTTGATGAGGACTAGACAACCAGTGATTTAGTAGTCACTTCTTTGTCTTTTATATTTATAATATTGGATCTATATTAAATGTTTTTGTTTCTGCAATGGAAATTGGATATTGAAAGTATATTGGTAGCTGGATTAGGGCAGTAAAAACAGCTGCATTTTTATTATTAGAGGTACTATAGCATACATGCATTCTAGGTCCTTCAGTGTAGGTTATCACACTGTGAATATCATTACAGTTGTGCTGTAAGTAATTAGCCTTATTCTTGAATAGAATCTGATTATAGGAGTAGTTTGGAACCTGTGATTGAAAGATGTTCTCATCTTTTATATATGTGGGAAATTAGTGCCTTATAAATCCATAGTTGCTAACAAGTAGAGAACAAGTCTATTCTGCTTTGAGAACTTTACATATAAATTAGCTATTCTGTATTTTACTGGAAGTTATTTTTCAAGTTAGTTTTCTGTTTAAAAGAGGTTAGATGTTAATTTCACAAATAATTGTTCCAGTTAGAGTTTGTATGCTCAGAGATTTATATGTTGATCCCACAGGGAGACATACTACTACCATACACTTTCCAAAAATGTTATATTTGTTTAGGTGCCTGAAGAAATGTATATGTTATCAAAATTTGTATTTTTTTCCTTAAGAAAGGAAGAGTGTAGACATTAATTATTTATAGGGTTAATAAATGTATTTTTGGCAGCTATCCCATGAAATTATTTTTTATTTTTGAAATATCCCACTATTTCCTAAGCGAAATGGTAGAAAAATTAAACTAACTTCTATTTTAGGAAACACACATGACAGGAAGAGTAGCCATTATGGTAGAGAGTCACCTTTTCCCCTATGTCTGTCTGTTTCAGAAAATTTTGAATTTGTGTGCATAACCCCTCCCCTTAAAAAGTATCTTTACAAAAATAGTAAAATTAGTTTTCTACTTTAGTGGATTTTTAAAATAATACTTTTTCCAAAAAAAGAGAAAGATTTGGGGCTTTTTAAGTCTTAAGTAGCTAGCCAAGGTGCTAAAAACAAACATGTTGGCTTATTTCCATTGTGTATAGGTATGTTTTGAAAATGATGGTGTTCCAAAATAGTGGTTGCCAGGGAGTTGTTTTTTTGGGAGGACTAGCTCCTTTCCAAACCTCAAATCTGCCACTGTGTTTTCAGTTCCACCTCTCAGTTTCTTTAAAAGTGTTTTCAGCGTCCTAATTCTGTTTGAATGACCCGTATAAATTAAAGAAAAAGAAAATTAAGAAAAAGAGAAGTATGCTTTTGCTTTTTTTTCAAGAAAAATCTGCTAAAATAACATCGCAAATTTATCTTAATGAATTATTTAACTTTCAGGACAACAAAATATACATTGTTTTAAAAGTTATATTTTGCTAATTTTGAAATTATTAGGTTTTTTAAAAGATTTTATTTGAAAGGCAGAGTTAGAGAGAGAGAGAGAGGTCTTCCATCCACTGGTTCACTCCCCAGTTGGCTGCAACGGTCGGAGCTGGGCCGAACTGAAGCTGGAAGCCAGGAGCTTCTTCCCAATCTCACACGTAGGTGCAGGGACCCAAGTACTTGTGCCGTCTTTTGCTGCATTTCCCAGGTGCATCAGCAGAGGGGAGATGGATCGGAAGTGGAGCAGCTGGGACTGGAACCGGTGCCCATATGAGATGCTGATGCTGCAGGCAACAGCTTTATGCCACAGTGCTGGTCCTTGATTTTTTTTGAAGATGTATTTATTTATTTATTTGAAAGGCAAAGTTACAGAGAGAGAGGGAGAGACAGAAAGACAGATCTTTGATCTACTATTCCCCAAATAGCCATGGTGGCTGGTGCTGGGCCAGGCCAAATCCAGGAGCCTGGAACTCTGTCCAGATCTTCCATGTGGATGGCAGGAGCTCAAGTACTTGGGCCCTCAGCTACTGCTTTCCTAGACATATTAGCAGGGAGCTGCATCTGAAGTGGAGCAGCCAAGACTTAAACTTGTACTACAATATGGAATGTCGTTATACTAAGCAGTGACTTACCCTATTGCCGTACAGCAAAACTTTGTCAAATCACATTACTTAAATGTTCAGATTTCTTTTTACATTTTTATTTCTTTTATTTATTTGGAAGACAGAGACAGCAGAGGTCTCCTGTTGTTGGTTTACTACCCAGATACCCACAGTAGCCAGTGCTGGGTCAAGCAGAAGCCAGGGGCCCAGAACTCAATCTGGGTCTTCAGTGTGGGTAACTGGGACCTGAGTACATGAGTTATGACCCACTCCCTTCAAGGGTATATAGAGGAAGCCGGAAGTGGGACCAGAGCTGGAACTCAAACCCAGGCATTCTGATGTGGATACATGTGTCTCAAGCATTGTTTTAAATGGGCCAAGTACTCTTCCTCAATGTGGCTGCTGCCATCTTCTCCAGTTTGTTACTCCTCAGTACGTGGCCCAAGATTGAGCAAACGTGCATTTCTCAAAGACAAGCTGTGTTTGCATATGTGTGTCTGCTATTCTATACTTTCCTTCCTTAATAATCCTTTTCTTTCTTTTTTAAAGATTTATTTATTTGAAAGGCAGAGTTAACAGAGAGGCAGGGAGAGTTCTTCCATCCACTAGTTCACTCCCTAAATGGCTGCAACAGCTGGAGCTAGGCCAATCAGAAGCCAGGAGCCAGGAGCTTCCTCCAGGTCTCCCATGCACATCTAGGGGCCCCGGGATTTGGGCCATCTTCTCTGCTTTCCCAGGCCATAGTAGCCGGGTCTTGAACTGGTGCCCATATGAGATGCCAGCACTTTAGGCAGTGGCTTCACCCCCTACTCCACAGCACCTGCCCCCCCTTTTTAAAAAATATTTATGTATTTTTTTTTTTTTTTTTTGACAGGCAGAGTGGACAGTGAGAGAGAGAGACAGAGAGAAAGGTCTTCCTTTGCCGTTGGTTCACCCTCCAATGGCCGCCTCGGCCAGTGCACCGCGCTGATTCGATGGCAGGAGCCAGGTGCTTTTCCTGGTCTCCCATGCGGGTGCAGGGCCCAAGCACCTGGGCCATCCTCCACTGCACTCCCTGGCCACAGCAGAGAGCTGGCCTGGAAGAGGGGCAACCGGGACAGAATCCGGCGCCCCGACTGGGACTAGAACCTGGTGTGCCGGCGCCACAAGGCGGAGGATTAGCCTAGTGAGCTGCGGCGCCGGCCAAAATATTTATGTATTTATTTGAAAGTCAGAGTTACATAGAGTAGTAGAGGCAGAGAAAGAGTGAGAGTGGTCTTCCATCTGTTGGTTCACTCCCCAGTTGGCCGCAACGGCCAGAGCTGTGCATATCTGAAGCCAGGAGCCAGGAGCTTCTTCCAGGTCTCCCTCGTGGGTGCAGGAGCCCAAGGACTTGCACCATCTTCTGCTGCTTTCCTCGGCCATAGCAGAGAGATGGATCGGAAGTGGAACAGCTGGGTCTTGAACCGGCACCCAGATAGGATGGCTGCACTGCAGGCGGCAGCTTTACCCGCTATGCCACAGCGCCAGCCTCTGCCTGCCCCCTTATAATCCTTTTCTACCTCCTCACTTTTGTTTTCTTTAACTGATTGCTATTTACTTTTATTGCTACTCCTCTGCCATTTCTCAGATTATCCTAGGCTACGTACTCCTCCTTGTGTCTCTATTAGGACCCTGTATGTACTTTAGTGATAGTATCTTACTATTGCAATTTTTGGTTTGCTTGGCTGTATTGACTAGTTATAAGTTTCTTGAAGCTAGGAACTATTTATTTTCTTCTCTGAATTCCTAACAGAGTACTTGGGAAACAGTAGGTTCTTAACATACTTCTGTTGAATTAATGACTAATGGAGAGGTCTGTGGTAAAATGGAATGCATTAGGACCTACAGTCAAACTTGAATCCAGTTCTGGCTGTGCTACTTACTCATATGTGGACTTAAACACTGTACTTAACATCTCCAAATCTCCATTCCCACATTTTTAACTATAACATTGAAATGAACATGTTTCCAAGGTGGGGAGGACTAGACTTAATCTCTACTAAGATAGGTAAAGTGTCTATATTCAGTTTTGTTGAGGACTGTATCCTCAGTGCTGATGCTTTTTTATTATTATCCTGTGCTATACCATATACCCCTATTTATATTTCTTCAAATTAGTCACGATGATTTTCTCTTATACTGCCTTGCCCTCTTAAATATTTGATGAGCAGATTTCTACTCATCCTTTGCAGTTGTTTTCTCTCTGCTGATCTCATAGTACCTTTTGCAAAGTAGCAGCTGCTCTAAATTTAGTTAACTCTAAAGGCTAGAGTTTGTCTTCATATTACCAAAACCTTGCATAGCACCTGGCATGAATCACTATCATTTAGCATAGGACTTGGCATGTTGTACATTTTTAATAAACATTGAAGGAATTAAT